ACAACGATCTCTCGCCATGTTTCGATTTATTTTAGTCGCAGCGGTATCGAAATTTGGAAGGTCGAGAGGCAAGCGAAGGATGGTCATCGTCTTTCGTCGAACTGCGTCGACACGATCGCCCGATCTTCTCTATGACAAAGTGCAGAATGCTGTTCCGCAGAAATGCGACATTCTCTCGCGTTTTCGCTACGAGAATTTCCTAAATATTACGATCAGGAATCAAAGAATAAAAATGTAGAAGACAGAAATCTAGAAATTGCAATCTCGAACGGAGAAAGTAAATAATTGGGCGAAATACCTTCGTAAACTAAATAATTTTACGAAGGTCGCAGAAAATCCGAAGCTCGAAAAGTATAGAAACCCTAAAGTTACACTGCAGTTTAAAGGACTAGATAGCCAAAGAGACATTCGCAACTCTTTCAATTCTTAAAATTCTTCCGCGCCAAAGAAACCAATCGAACACGGTCGGAAAGCAAAATAAAGAAAGAAATAAAGAAAGAAAGATAAGTATTCACAAAAAGGATTATCGTTTATTTGAAAATTACTGCAAAAAGTAGTAAATTTAAGTAAAAATAGTAAAATTATTTTTCATTTTGATACAGTGGTATCGATAAGTAAAAGCGTGGGCGCGACGACTCTCCCGCGCCTCTAGCCCCAGAAAAATTGAAGCTAGTGCTGCCAGGTGTAGAGAATCCGCGACGTCGCATTACCCCCACTACCACTCTGTTGTCCTCATCGCGTCGTCTACGCTGTAGACAAATGGAGGTGGAGGGGGCAAATAACGTTGCCGCTGTGGTCGCGACGTAAAACGAAATTCATGCCACGTGACAGAAGCAGCGTAGAGGGGTAGAATGGTAGTGGGGGTACGAGCAGGCAATCGCCCGACAACTCAGATCTAATCTGACCTAATCCAGATCTAATTTTAAGTTAATCAAAAATGCGATTGGATTAGATCTGGGTTACCTGGGTTACGTCAAAAGAAAGAAAAGAGATCCGCGTTACTTACACTCTATTAAACGTAAATATCCGGCGGATTATGCGCCTTCGCGTAAACTATTTTTGTTAACGAGATACTCAAGTATAAAGCCTTCGCGATACTACTCAGGCTGATGACATCGAGAATATATCGATAGATGATCGAAATTGAGGTGGCTCCCTTTTTGTGAATAATCAAATTGGGAGAAATTTGTAAATGGACATTCGCGGCTCCTGAACGCTGCAAGGAAACATAAAGGAAACATAAAGCAGTAAGAAAAATAAAATTAGAAGAAGGAAGGTGGTTCTGGAAAAATTATGGTTCTGAACAAAAATTACATACGGGCTTTTTACATACATACACCGGACAATTACATAGACCAGATGTACAATGGAAGACAAAAGGAAGCTCAAAGGATGAGCAGTCGATGATACAACAAGAAGCACTGAAATTTAATAAGAAATAAATTGTAATTGACAAGAGCGCTTTTAAATTATTGACCCGTTATAATTTTAGAGAATGAGTTATAACTGATAAAAATGAATAAATCATAACCGGATATACTGTCATCAATGTAATTAAAAAATATTCGCTATACCTACGTTACTATCGATATAGCGTAGCCGTTACAAACAAATATGAATTTTAAACTTCAATGTAACCGAACCAAGGCAAACCAAATTCCTGTGCCACAAGAGAAAAAGTAAACGCGGCATAGAAAGAAGAAAAGTTTTCCGATTTCGTACAATTGGTAAATTTCATATTTCTTCCGTGCTTTCGCCACTCGGCAAAGGGTTGAAAGGGAAACGAAGCCGAAGGGTTGCTCCGGCGTTGCTGACGACGCTGGAATCGGTATTTTCCCATGTTACTATTTTCATGGCGTGCACCGTGCTATTTTCGTGGTGGCAAGTCCGAGAAAAGAGGGTTGACGAGGGCTACCGATAAAACTCACCCCCGACCCAACCCCCGAAGCTCTCGGGGCGGCCTCTCGCGTAATCGATAGCGGTCGCACGTGCGATCACGGACAGGCTACACGTTGCCCTTAGTTAAAAAGGAATGCTCCTCCGCGTAGTATCGTTGCTCAAGGTCGTTCCTCGGATACAATCGGAACACACCTTTCGCGTGGCTTTTCATTCAACTCACGCGTACTCGCGTGGATCTTCGTGCGTGTGCGCGTATCTTTCGATACACGGACGACAGTTTCAGGTCGAGTTAGGTAACAAATATCGGGATCGTTGGTTTCCATACGTCTCCCATAGTTTGACGAAGGTACAGTGGAAGACGGAAGGAAGTTGAAAGGATAACGAGACGGAAAAAGAGTAGAATTTTAGGAAGACGAGCTGCAATTGACAGAGACAACGAGATTGTTGGAACGCTGCGATTGTAGAAGAACTGGTTGTAGTGTAGATTTGGAATTAAATTACCGAAACGCTGTAATCTTAGAAGATGAGTTGTAATTGACAAGAACGGTTAAATTATCGAGACGTTGCAATTACAGAAGAAGGTAGAGAGATGTAGCTGACGAGAACAATTATATCGTTGGAACGCTGTAATTTTCGAAAATGTGTGATAATTGACGCGGCCAATTAAACTATCGCAACGTTGTAATTTTCGAAAACGATTCCGTAATAAAATTAAATTATCGAAACGCTGTAATTTCAGGAGGTTGAGTGCTAGTTGACAAGAACAATTAGATTACCGAGACGCCACGATTTCCCAGCAACGAGTTACACTTTTACAAGGATAATTAAATTATGGCTAGATATAAAAACGTGTTCCACGTTCTAGAGTCGCTGTTAATTTAAAATTGGAAGTGGTTATAGCTATCAGATAAATTAATTAATTAATTATGTTGTTGGAGATAGATACGAATTTTAAATTTTCTCTTTTAGACGCAGATCTGTGTCATCGAGAAAACGTTACAACGAACACGCTATTTTTGATATTCCGTATACTTTCACGTACAGTGCTTGTACCTTTAAATTTCCCATAAACGCGTAAAAATCCGCGGTCTAATAATAAACAGCTGAAAAATTCAATAATCAATTGCTCGTAGCCAAAACTGCCTTCTAAATTGATTCGTGAAACTAAGTATACGTTTTTGTGCACCTTGTTCGACGTACAAAAACCGATTCTATATAATAATAATAATAATAATAATTTACTAATTTACTAATTTGCTAAGTCGGCAATTTCCGCGAAGCGTATGCCAGCGATAAACGGCAACGATAACTTGTACGTAAATCCTCGGATTAATTTCACGTTTCACGGTGTGTTGTTATAATCATAACGTGGAAATCTTGTTATAGCGTGAACGAAATATCAAAATGTTTTATGTGACGCGTGTAATGTATCGATGAAAAAGTTTCTTGCCGGTGTCTGTATAATTTCGTGAGCCGCTGTACACGTGAGTTTGCGATTGATGAAGATAACGACGATGATGAGGCATGATCGTTTGAATGGCGATGAAGAATAATAATTGAAGGTGAAATATCAGGATACCAGACGATTGATAAACGCTCGCGTGGGCATCGATAAACACCTACACGTCAGCTTCGTTTTATGCGAGCTGGTCTTCTAAGACGTGTGTGTAACGGGTGACTCGAGAGAAAGGTGTGTTTTCGTCGTTTTTTGATGCCATATATAATAATAATTATATATATAATAATATAATAATAATTACCTACATGTATATACATAATAATTATTATTATACAAATATATATATATACAGGGTGGTTGGTAACTGGTGGTACAAGCGGCAAAGGGGCGATTCTACGCGTAAAAAGAAGTCGAAAATATAGAATAAAAATTTTTCGTTCGAGGCTTCGTTTTCGAGAAAATCGACTTTGAATCTTCGGTCGGTACGCGTGCACTTTATCGCGTCTCGTTGTAACGGATCTCACTGTAGATCGTTGTCTCGATTGACGTTATTTCTTTAATTTTTTAAATTCTTATTCTATATTTTCGACTTCTTTTTTCGCGTAGAATCACCCCCTTTCCGCTTGTACCACCCGTTACCAACCACCCTTTATATATCTATCTATTTATTTTTGCCTTCTGGCTGCAAAACCAGATTCACGTAGATTTCTTATTCACACGCTCTTTCAACCTCAATACACGCTAGATTATTGTTAATATAATATTAAGTTGTCCCAAAAATTTCCTTCGTTTTATAAGGAAACAATGGACGCATAACATTTTTTGTTTCATATTTTTTTATCGAATTACGTGTGATCCATCTTGTCCTACCGGGACAAGAACGAAAGAAACTTTTGGGACAATCTAATGCTTGAACTTACTCTCAGTTACATTCTATTTACTCTCGGTTAATTACTTAAATCGAATCTCACATGTTAGTCGCACATTCTCTTTTTGGCGTTCCCACGTCTGCTCTTCCTTTTCCCCTATCCTTCCTCATACACACTCGCTTCTTTCTCATTTCCTCAACCATTCTATCATTCTGTCTTTTTTCCATCTCGATCTCGTACAGTTTTCTCTAACGCGTGCGTTACGCTTCTATCCTCTATTCCTCCGCAGTCCTCTAACAAACGTTTCAGTGTATCCGATTGCTCTTCGCATACAAAAATACACCTACTCTGTTTCCCGGCCATCCAAAATGTATTTGCCTCTGCTACGCTCCAGCGCTTCGCCCTACAAATTGGCATCTGACTGCCTTGTTTCGCATTCTTTTCATATTGGGCTGGCAACTAAGTGATTGCGAATTTTATCATTGCCACCTAATGACAAAATCCGCAATCGCTTAGTTGCCGCATTAGGGTGACGCTTGGGCTCGAAAATCGAGCAGTTCCACCTTCTGCGTATTTTTCACTTTTCTATCTATTTATTTTTGCCTTCTGGCTGCAAAACCAGATTCACGTAGATTTCTTATTCACACGCTCTTTCAACCTCAATACACGCTAGATTATTGTTAATATAATATTAAGTTGTCCCAAAAATTTCCTTCGTTTTATAAGGAAACAATGGACGCATAACATTTTTTGTTTCATATTTTTTTATCGAATTACGTGTGATCCATCTTGTCCTACCGGGACAAGAACGAAAGAAACTTTTGGGACAATCTAATGCTTGAACTTACTCTCAGTTACATTCTATTTACTCTCGGTTAATTACTTAAATCGAATCTCACATGTTAGTCGCACATTCTCTTTTTGGCGTTCCCACGTCTGCTCTTCCTTTTCCCCTATCCTTCCTCATACACACTCGCTTCTTTCTCATTTCCTCAACCATTCTATCATTCTGTCTTTTTTCCATCTCGATCTCGTACAGTTTTCTCTAACGCGTGCGTTACGCTTCTATCCTCTATTCCTCCGCAGTCCTCTAACAAACGTTTCAGTGTATCCGATTGCTCTTCGCATACAAAAATACACCTACTCTGTTTCCCGGCCATCCAAAATGTATTTGCCTCTGCTACGCTCCAGCGCTTCGCCCTACAAATTGGCATCTGACTGCCTTGTTTCGCATTCTTTTCATATTGGGCTGGCAACTAAGTGATTGCGAATTTTATCATTGCCACCTAATGACAAAATCCGCAATCGCTTAGTTGCCGCATTAGGGTGACGCTTGGGCTCGAAAATCGAGCAGTTCCACCTTCTGCGTATTTTTCACTTTTTTTTTTTTATTTGCTTTTTCGATTTACATTTCGAGGGCGAAGCTGCAAAGAGATACACATTTTCGAAAAATGTTTTCAGCTTGCAATTTTCTGCCATACGATCGCCATATGGCAATCTCTTTGTATTCCTCTCGAACGAAGGCAGCGGAGCGTGAAAGACTCAAAGATATGGCAACTTTAATTTCGTAGAATTTAAGACAAGCGAGACACAAATACGAGAATATCGCGTTACGTTTTTCTTCGCTTCTGAACGCGAACACCCTGTATGTAGGCAATTTAATTCACGTTAGCTTATGGATTATAGATTATAGGTCGCGTGTATGCAAATTTCTGTAGAATGTACAGGATGCTTCGGCTAAATGAAATTAGTCGAGTATCTGCCTCGTTCATTGTTCAACGAAAATCTTCTCGATACGCAGTTCTATTGTTTTAAGGGTCGCGTGTAACGTCGAAAAGAACGTTTTCTCAAGTTCGATTTTTTGACGAGAAACCTGAAGGTGTATCGATGTATAGCAGCAAATGTCCTACAGAAACGTTTTCTTCTTAGAAATATATCGTAAAACGATGTTTCTCGTCGCGGACGTGCATGAAAAATTTCTCCATTATTTTTATCGAACACTCGAATTATTCAAATACGATCCAAAGTAAAGATAATTTCATTATTTTGATCGAATACTCGCATAATCTCGACGATCTAATATCGATTGTTTTCTGAAACGAATGGCCATTGGATTTTTCGTCTGCTTGGATATAACGTTATTCGAGATCGTTTCTTCCAATTTACCGTGAAATATCGACCGTGATATAAATGTTTTAGGACGTGTATAAACCGACGGAGGCTAGCACTGGGTCGTGAAACGTCTGAGTAGCTTGGTGCACTTGAAACTGTGCCAATCCTCGAAACCGAGTTCCGCTGGCTGCATAATAAAACGATCAGATCTGGTGGAAAAGGGCCAATGTCAATATCTTGGACCGCGTACGACAGTCAGGGAATGCGCGTGGGCTCATTCAGCCGCGTTCCACGAGTTTTGCAACTCCCTCGACGCGAATAAAAACTCTCAGAGACAATCGAACTGTCTTTGTGCCTCGTTGCGGTTCACCTGTGGAAACAGTGAAAATAGAATGCCGTGGTTCTAGATGCTTGGAATTATTAAAGGAATAATTAAAATTAATAACAGACGCTTAACAGTCGCTGTCTTTTTCGAATAGTTTCATGTTATCGAAATGTTTAACTTTAAAACAGAAGAAAAAAGAAAGAAAGAAAGAAACGGTTCTTCTTCCTGACACGCGCGAATTTAGGGGTTCGATCTTCTGACAATCATTGCGACAATGTGTATGTAATATTTTTGAGAGCGTAAACTAAGAAGGTAAAACCTCGCGGATAACTGTTTTACCTACCGAACAGTGTAGAAAGCGCTGTACTTTATTGGATATCGTGTGCGCATTTCGTGGAACGTTACACCTTCAAATTTTCTATAAATACGTGGTACACGTACGTGAAAATCCGCAGTTTAGCGATAAAGCCATTTTTAATATTATTTACGAGTCTTCTTGGTCGTTGAAAGAAGATGGGGATATCAAAATTGGAGAACCGTGCCAGAGCTGAAATAATAGAAGAATTATACGTTGGAGGTTTTCATTGGTATTCCGGTGTGAATTTATTTTATCTTTTTAGTTGAAAGATTTACACAAAGTTTACACAAAGATACTTAAGAAAATTACTAATGAAATTGGTTCGCTAAGAACCAAACCTTTGTTGGACCGTCCGAAAGATACCATAAAAATAAACAAAAATCTCGATTAAACAATTGCACACTATACGAAGAATACAAAATTGTTTTAATCAAACAACAATTCGTTTGATTTATTATATCCACTTGTTTCTCATCCTTTACGTGATAATTCCTTTGTTCAAACTTTTGGTTATTTTTATCATAGTTTTTGGATGATCTTCGTCGCAACATTTGTCACACATTTTCTTAAGAATCGTCGTATCGACGTTTAAATTGGCAGAAAATAGTGAATTCACGCTAAAACAGCAAACGAAACAATGGTAGCCAGACGAATAAAGTAAACGCGAGCGATCGCAGATTTAAAATAGTAAATGATCTCAATGACGAGAATCTCTTTTATTTCATACTGAATTGATCGTTTCTTTCGTTTCAAACGTTTATACGAACATCGCTAACGAAACCACCTGTTTCGCTAAAAAATCGAATATTCCTTGTCTCCTGCAGCCAGCCAGAAAATAACCAACAAAATCCCAACGAAACTGTTACTACGCGAGAAATAAAAAATTATTTACATACTCGTCTGACTTATTACACCGATTTATTTTTAACACGCTAATTCTCTTGTCCACACTTTCGATCGTTTTTAGGCTCTGGATTTTCAACCGCCGGGAAAAAAAGCGTCCTTTTTTATCGAAACATTTATCAGCCGTATTTCTTGAAAATCTTCGTACCGCCGTGCAAATCAACAGAAATAATAAATTCAGTCTACACTGCGAAACGAAAGAATCGCAATGGGTACGAGCCTTTGAGAAAATGCGAATGCAAAGGGATGACGGGTCGAATATAAACGTTCCATTTTCCGCGTTTACCGGTTCGTATCGCATTCTAATTTCGTTCCGGCGGAACGATTATTCGAAATGGAACTGAACCGCCGGGCTGTTTCGTCATCGGAATGGCAGGAAACGCGCGGACAAGTCGCAGGAATGGTACTATTGATTTTTGGCTGCTCCTTTTTCGACCCTATCCGTCTGCGATTCTGTCCCCTCGAATTATTCGCCATTGCTTCCACTGCACACCCCCTTGATACGTGCATTTTATTCCGCTGTGCGTTCTCTCGTCACGTTTGCTGACTGCCAGCGAAATAAGTGGCTTGGAAAGAAACAACCGCCCGCCTTCTAATTGCGCTCGCTGTAACGTCGCACGTTGACAAATTTCGTTAAAAAGACGAATTCGTTGCTGCCCGGTTTTCGTTCCGCCCGGCCATTATTTTCTCCTTAGGCTCTTGCTGCGTCGGAAATATTATCGGGTTGGCAACTAAGTGATTGCGGATTTTGTCATTAGATGGTATTGACAAAACCCGCAAACACTTAGTTGCTAACCTAACATTATCGAAGGTATTTTTCTTGTAAATTTCATCGATTGTTTTTCCTAATTTTGTTGTATCGCGCGTTTCGTATTCTCGAAGCTTAGCCGTACGACGAGAAGAAAATAAGACATTTTAGATACTACGCGTTTCGTGTACTTCGCGTTGGACGAATCAGCTAATGACGAATTGCTTGTACACGTGGCAAGGATCGATCTAACCAGCGACCTTAACGCGATCGAATGTTGTATACTCTGTCGGAAACGAAGAACAACGTGGAGATCTCAGTGGAAATATTATACGGCGATAAGAAACGAGAACCTACAGAGACACGGTAACTGAGAACGCTATTATGTTGCAGTCGATTTGACGTGCAATAGTCACGGGCACTTGGATCGTTGAAAGTAAAATTCTATTATCACCATGGAACTCACCGTGTAACTGTTGAGAATTATGGATCTTAATCACCGAAATAAACGTATAGGAACAATTAGATTACACTTAGAATTGATATCAAAATAGTTTGAGATTTATTTAATACGTGATTTACAAGATATTCGTGGATATACATTCGCACGCGTCTCAGCACTCTCTTTGTCTCGCCATCTTCTTTACCACATTACCAACGGAACAGTTGCATTCATCTGTTTTCACAAAGGATATAACCTAACAAACACGAAGATGGTCCCCGTTCGGGGTAGCCACCCACATGTTATATTATTATACCACTAAGCTATAATATTTTACCAAATGTCCTACTGGACAAATTGTAAAATTTAAATAAATAAATAAATAAAAAAATCTGTTTTACGAGACGCTGTGCACGCACATACTCCACACACTCATACTCATAAATATGTGTCACTACTACGTGGCTAATCTAGCGTAGCACACAAAATTACACATTTGTCAATAGTAACGATACGAAATTTATAATAACAGTGATAAACGTGCGAGATGATATTTTCGGGGGAAAAAAGCTGTGGAGATTGAGAGAGTAGGAAGCATCGGTCGATACTTGCAAGGCTAGGAGTAGGTCACACAAACTTCGCCCGTGTTCACCTAATCACGAAAGAGGAACCGAGGAAGCGGCAACGTTCGCAACGCAGAAAGTCACTGTGAAACGTTTAGTTAATTGAGTGGATAAGAAGTTGAAAACGAAAGGCGAAAACACAACGTTGCGAGCAATCTCGAAACTAAATAAGAAGGAAGAAATTCTTTTTACCGATCGATTTTACCTCAGTCAATTTTCATTGAATTTAAATAAAAATTCCAAATTTCATATCAATTTTTCGTTCGTGGTTATTGCTTTCGATCGTCTAATTCTCTGTAGATTCTTATATCGACAAAAATTGAGAAATTAATTAATCGGATAATAGAATCTATTTGTATACACCAGGAAATTTAAGGGATGAAATAAAATAGAAATCAAGAATAAAGAAATTGCGTTTTATATTGCAAAAGCGACTGACCTGCTCGTCAACGCCCAGCCCGAACTGCTAACTGCAGTCAGAAATTTGAAATGTGGACAATATGCTTGTTTTATGACGTAGAAAGGATGTTTGGACCCCAAACGGATAACGAGAAGAGGGTAACATTTTTTTAAAACAGTTTAATCGTATTTTTATATTCACTGAAGTTGCAGACTCGGCATATGAACTGCTCGTTAAAAATAAACAAACAGGTGTTCGAACGTTTCTCGAAATTCGACTCTTAGGCGGGAGGGGGTGGTGAGAAAAAGGGTAGGTTTCTCTCTTTCGGAAGATAACCATACCTTTGTACCGACCGAAGTTAGAGACGTGAAATTCGGCACGTGCACACCTCGTTAGAAATAAACAGAGGCGTGTTTGACCCCTTTTCGAAATCCAATCCTTATAGGGGTGAGAAAGAGTACGTTTTTTCTTCTTCCAAGAGATAATCGTATTTGTATGTTCGTTAAACTTAGACACCGTGAACTTCTCGTTGAAAACAAACAAACACGTGTTTGAGTGTTTTTCGAAATTTAACTCCAACAGGGTGTCCAAACAGAGGGTTGTAAACATAAATTGGAATACTTGTGCGTGAAAAGCAGCGGACATTCAGCTAAATGGATACAAATCCGCCTACTGATACGATGTAAATATCGTAAATATCGTAAATAATATTTGTGACCAAACAACAACGTGTTAGCGTAATATAATATGTTTATATATAATATATACATAGTGGTTGGTAACTGGTGATACAAGCGGAAAGGGGCTGATTTTACGCGAAAAAAGAAGTCGAAAATATAGAATAAAAATGTAAAAAATTAAAGAAATAACGTCAATCGAGACAACGATCTACAGTGAGATCCGTTATAACGAGACGCGATAAAGTGCACGCGTACCGACCGAAGATTCAAAGTCGATTTTCTCGAAAACGAAGCTTCGAACGAAAAATTTTTATTCTATATTTTCGACTTCTTTTTTCGCGTAAAATCAGCCCCTTTCCGCTTGTATCACCAGTTACCAACCACTATGTATATATTATATATAAACATATTATATTACGCTAACACGTTGTTGTTTGGTCACAAATATTATTTACGATATTTACGATATTTACATCGTATCAGTAGGCGGATTTGTATCCATTTAGCTGAATGTCCGCTGCTTTTCACGCACAAGTATTCCAATTTATGTTTACAACCCTCTGTTTGGACACCCTGTTGGAGTTAAATTTCGAAAAACACTCAAACACGTGTTTGTTTGTTTTCAACGAGAAGTTCACGGTGTCTAAGTTTAACGAACATACAAATACGATTATCTCTTGGAAGAAGAAAAAACGTACTCTTTCTCACCCCTATAAGGATTGGATTTCGAAAAGGGGTCAAACACGCCTCTGTTTATTTCTAACGAGGTGTGCACGTGGTTAACCTTCCATCTGCACGCTGATTCTATTGCCCGATTAATCAGTTTCTCAATTTTTGTCGATATAAGAATTTACAGAGAGTTAGACGAACGTTTTTCAAATTTTTAAATTTTTAAATTTTCAAATTTTTAAATTTGTAAATTTTCAAATTTTTAAATTTTTAAATTTTCAAATTTTCAAATTTTTAAATTTTTAAATTTTCAAATTTTTAAATTTTTAAATTTTCAAACTTTTATTCTATATTTTCGACTTCTTTTTTCGCGTAAAATCAGCCCCTTTCCGCTTGTATCACCAGTTACCAACCACTATGTATATATTATATATAAACATAATTATGTAACATAAATGTTAAACTTGCAGATTTGGAAATCGGATTATCTTTTTCCTGTCTGAAATTTTACCCACGGTTTTCTGCTATTTCTCCTTTGAACCTCTCAAATTAAACATTCTATGCTAATAATTATTACATGTATGGTAACTATAGAAAATTATTAATTTTAAGTAAATTCTGGCCTCTCTTTTTTCTTCTTTTTAAATACAATTTCTACGATGTGCCGAATATTCAACTAAAATCATCGCCGATAATAATCGACCTATATTTCGATCACACACACACACGTACAGAATTAAGTATCTCGAATCTTTTCGAAATTTAATTACATAGGTAGGTTTTACGTGACGTACCGTACGATTGGAAGCTCCGATCGGTGAAATTCGTAGCGTAATATTAAGATAGACGTTACGCAAAGTTCCGCTAGGTCCAATTAGCGCAGGATTCGATTGTTTCGGTGGAAAAAGGGAAACGCGAAATGGACGCCAGGGTTGCCAACGAAATTTCAATTTCGGGCCCGGCTAACGCCGCCAGCTACGATGCTACCAAACGAAAATATCGAAAATTATTTTATAACTACGTCTGTCCCTCTTCGATACGCGTCCGAACAACTCTGATTTAATTGCAAACGCCAACACGAAAAAAATATAAATTTCGTTGTTGAAACTGGAGGTACTCGTTGTATCGTTGGAGGTGAACCGGCGAGATAATTTTCTACGTTTCGCGAACGTATAAAATGACGAAAGAAAATACCCAGTACGATACTAATACATATTTTCAAACGATTATAGTGTGTGTGTGTGTGTGTGTGTGTGTGTAGATTATTCAAATAGATCTTTTTGTATCGTTGTACGACAAGTTTCAATCTTATCTTTAAATATGGAACGTAAGAACAAGATTCAAACGAGATAGACGTTTTGTATTCTTGAGACATTTTCGTTATTATTCCTAAATTGACGAAGAAACCAGTTCTGCTGGTGGTGACCGAGTGGATCCATTTTCTCATTGCCTGTTTCAAAAATTCTTGCCGTTTCTACAACTCACGATCTACGTACGATACGATCCAACGAAAGAATCGTTCTTATCACGGCAATAAATTTCGCTCGTTATTAACCTTGACAATCTGAAAACGTTAATATCCATTCTATCTCTGGGTAAATATTATAATTCTGAAAGAAACAGGGCGAGGCGCCTGAAACAGGCCACCTGAACGTCTCGGCTGTTATCGGCGAATAGGAAGGTGCAAATTTAGTTGGCCTGTTTTTAGGCGCCTCGTCCTTTATAATGCAACCATTTTCCATATATTTACGTAAAATCTCGAGATGCACAAGATGATGCTAAGATGTACAAGACGCGGCTAACGCGCAGACATATAGAAAATACCTAAAATATCGTACTTGCTGTAATATTTCGTGGATAAACAAATTTTCCATCTGAACTTCCTTCTCCTTTTTTACACTCATCTCGATGAAAGTATGAATTTGCATTTAATAATAACGCCCGGCTGGCGCTTATCGGTCCAAAAAACTCGATGGAAAGAGTATGTGCAGTCGAGTCACCGAATTTCCCTAGGCAACTGGCCAATGTAACTAGGAACAATTCACCGGCGATCGGTCCCGGTGATTCCCCTAGAGGCACTAAGAATAATTCCCCTAGGAAGAAGCGGAACATAGAAAACTCTCCGAAAATGTATTCCAACGATTTCTCTAAATTCACAGGAAAATAATCGGCCGCTAAACGAATCAAGGATACACCGTGAACGTCGCTTTACGATAATTCAGGCGCGTGCTACGACGAAACGCACACGGTGATTTCACGTTTTATACGGGTCGAGGGGCGAAAGAAAAAAAAAAAAAATAAAAGAGAACTGGCAGCAGCCGTACGAGGCTCATGGGAAACAAATCGACAGACGGAGGAACACACCATGGGTGGCGTATATATTGATCGACGAGGGAGGGTGGACTTTATAACGTGCGTACCACCCTAGCGCCGTTGGGGCGCAACATATAATTTTCATGAGACTGCCATATAACGCGTTTCCTGTCAAACGCACAAACTTATCCGAGGTCCGCGTCGTACATGCCTGCTCGGCAATTATTCACCGCCATTACGGTTTTGTTTCCATCCACCGGCAGCCCTTCATGTTCCGTCATCCTATTGCTATAATTTCGACGACAGTCCTTTCGGAGAAGAAACTAGGAGGACACGGTTTCGCGATTTCTATAGCTTTCGCACGATCGTTGTAATTCTTCGTAGTGGTAATTGGCAAAAAAAATTTTTTTCGGGGGGGGCGGAGGAAGGATGATAAATAAGTTAGCAGAGGAATTTTTTTAGCGTTTTTAATTTTACACTCAAGCGCCCTTTCAAATTTATTATTCTCAATTTTTGAAATATCGCAAAGTACGTGACGAACGACGCTGAGTTTGAATAAAATCGTCGTATGCATAGGTGAAATTTTGAAGATAATACTTTCGCGGAGAAGCTAAGAGAAATATGAAGATAGATAGTTTTGCGTTCTTCATGGGTTTCCGGTGATCACTGTGATTCTTGAGAATTGTAATTGGCAAATTTTCTGTAGGAAACAATAGACAAATTTTTCGTCTACCAATTCCATTTATACCAATTGTTCCATGCCTTTAATTCTGAACTCAAGTAATCGATTGTTCGAAATTTTCCAATCGTTGTAGATTACGATAGCAAGTTTTAATGAAAGCGTTGCACGTACGGATCCAATCTCGATGATATACTTTTGGGGAGAAAGTAAGAGGAATGGTGAAACATGAGGAACGATAAAGATGCTTTGGGCTTTTTTATGGCTTCGGATGATCACTATGATTTTTCTTAGACGATAAGAGAGAGAGAGAGAGAGAGAGAATGGTAAATTGGAAAATTTGTTATTAGGAAACGACAGATTTTTCAAGATCTCCGTGATAAACTAAGTCAATACACATAGTTTTCTTTTTTCTAACGTAAAAATCGAGCTACTATAAAATATGAAATTCCGACAATAATAAAAAAAAAAAAGTAAAAGCAACTACGTATATTATAAGAAGAAGGCTAAGAATAAAAAGCACTTTGTGACTGAAAAACCTCAATTAAAAATACAACGAAATTTCCAGGAATCGTTATTTATTGATTAGAGGATTTATATCAGCTGTGGGAGGAGGATCAATTAGGGGCGTGATTCGGCGCCTATCGATCACGACACAACGTATTAAATGCAACATTGTAATCCAATAAGACGATAAATCATCACTCACCGCACGCTTTGGATTTATCGAAAAGACGATTTCGCGAGGAGAAGACGAAGAATTCTCAGAAGTCCTCACTGGCCCTCATTTTTCTTTCTTCAATCTGACCTCCATAATTCTATCGTATATTATATCTTTCCTCTCTTTCTGTCTCCTTTCGTTTCGCCATCGCAAACGAACCAATGTGTCTCGTTGCATTTACAGCTGGCTCGAAACATCTGCATCGTTATAGTAAATTTGTAATTTTCCTGCTGCCAGCTAATCGTGGATCATCGACGTCGCCGAAACCTTCGTACGTCCATAAATATTAGGTCATCCCATAAGTTCGTGCCGTTTTTCGAGCGGTTATGTATATTATTTCTTTTAAAACACCTATGAATCGTTGTCTCAGGTATTTTCAGAACATTTGACATCTCTTGAACTGTGAAACTTCGTGATTTTTCAACGAGATCCCGAATTTTATGTTCGTCTGTGTGAGGAGGACGCCCGGAGCGTTCCTCGTCTTCTAAACAGAAATTCCCAGCTCTAAAACGTTGCAACCACTTGCTACAGGTGCGAGATGAAAGCGCATTTTCGCCGTAAACAGCACATATGTTTTTCGTGGCAATTGTTGCAGAACATCCTTTCCGAGATTCATATAATACGAGATGTCGAAAATGGATACGCATTTCACTCATCATTTTTTACTGTTACAAGTCACTGTGTTCGCTATATTACGACCTTATACCCAGGAAAATCTGTTCTCGATCAGCTAAGCTCAAGTGCATTGATCCCTTATCGCCGTATGTTTAGAAATCGACGCATGAAATGTATACACAAAAGTCGGCACGAACTTATGGGATGACCTAATATTACAGTATCGTACTTTAGGTAGGCACCTTACGATACGAGCCGCGTAACGTAAACACGGTGTAAATCAATTTTTCGCGCATTTGATTTAACACCGCATCACGAGAGCGTGACCTTCATCCTGTTTCGCGCAGAAGTAAAAGCAAGCGTAGGTAAATGTTGGTTAGTTTCTCGCTGAGAATCGTCCACTCCACGCTTTACAGAATTCTCATTTTATCTCTCATTACTCGGTAATAATCAACTTTTCTTTGACTTACACCGCTTTTGCATATGCAGCGGCTCGTATATTTTCACGTTGCGCGTATTCCACGAATCTCTGAATTTTTACATTCGCCATAAAATCCGCGAAAAAGCGTAGTCCACTCGCCGATGATAATCGATCGTCGATATCACATTTAGTGGCACACTAAACACATACCGAACGCTATGTATCTACCGAGTATTGTACCAAACACTATACTTCACGTACCTTTATGTAATACATTTTTGCACGTTACGTGTATTCCACGTATTTTCGAGTTCTTAAACTTTCCATGTATACGCAGAAGAAAAAACGAAATAAAAATCTGCGAACTGCTCACCAAAACGATAACGATACTACTAACAATAATACCATTAATAGTAATCGATTCTCAGGATCATGGAAACGTTGGTCACATCAAACGCGGAACTGAACGCTAGTGTCGGTTTTCTCGGCAAAGTTGCTCTCGCGAGGCCAACATATCGCAGTGTGTATGATAATGCAGATAAGATAATGCGGCGGAGCATTTCTTATTTTCCCCACCGTGTTATTTTTTTCTTTTCCTCTGAAGCACGCCACGCTCTCAACAGCTAAGAAAGATTCTCGCGATCAGAGTCGTGGTGCGCGCTTCGTCGTCTCCCTTTCTCTCTTCCTCCTTCTCCCTCTCCTTTTCTCTTTTTCTCTCTCTCTCTCCCTCTCTCCGCCATCTTCGATATCGCCTCTCTCCTTTATCTGTTCGGTCGTTTGCATGTCGTGTTTCCCTTCGATCGACGGATTTCCGGGTGCCGGTCACTTTTTCGCTACCATGTGCTTCCAATGGGACGTGTTCCAACGGAAATGCAACAACTACAGGTAACGAGTACAGCGAGCCACAACGGTTGTTGCTTCTTCTTCCTTCTTCGATAACGTTCGCGAAAATCGCGATATCTCGTTGCACTTAGTCACAACAGACTCGGATAGTGGCGCGGGGCTATGGCCGATTCGCCTACTAATCGGCATTAGCTTTTATGGGTTTATCTAACACCATTGTAAATCGCGCGGAAGATAACAGCGAGAAAAATAACGCCTTCGAGCTAATACCTCGCGGCGATTAGAATCGACCGTTGCGTTACGCGTTCATAGTCGTAAGATCGAGCGCACGGTCGACCAAGCTCGGAATCGAGATGTCGCTTGGAATCGATAGTGGCAACGCGACTCGACAGGTGTACGTTTCAAAGGATAGCGAGCTGCCGTTGTAAAACTAAGATCTGGTTGATAGCGGCACAGTTGATAATTTCGTTGTGTGACGCGAAACTCGTGCAATTGTAAATACGTTTTGCGCGAGGGAGAGCAAACCTGCTCGATAGGAGCAAATTTTTAGAAGATTCTTCCAGTTGTGCCGATATCGATACGTTGTAACGTGTACATTGGTAACAATACTTTTATATTATGTATTCTATATTTATATTATGTTATATACTTGTGTACCGGGAGGTTCGCGCGATTCCTTGGTGTCATAGCGCCGCTGTCAGCGTAGTTAGAGAAAATGTCGAAGGAGAAGGACGAATTGTTCGAAGGGTACTACGTTCGTAGCATCGTGCGTTTTTAAGAACCGCAATGGCGCATGCGCGATCAACCATTGCGTGACTTACATAGATGCAGAAACGCCTACTTTCCTTTTTACACAGATAGGTTCTTCTCGTTATTCCACGAAAAAAGAAACTGGTTAGTTTAGGAGATATTTTAACTTCGATCTCATTGGTAGAGTATCGCATGACAAACAGGGAAAGACGTAACACGATACTCTCGTATTTACGTCTTCTGTGTCCTGCACATGACCAATTCTAGAAGATTAAAGTCGAAATATCTCGGCTAACTAATCGTTCTTGCCGGCATTGTATCTCGATGCAAAAAAAATGTGTACTTCCATTTAAGAAACATATTGCCACAAAATGATTGCACATGCATCATTGCAATTCCAATAAAACGTGGCTCATCCCGTAGATATTTCATAGTCAGTTAGTTGACTTATTATTAGTTACGCAACGATTATTCAAGCAATTGTTTTTCTTTTTTTTGTTACAGGTAAGCCCGAGTTCGATAAAAGATTCAGTTCAAGGTTCAGTCATGGCAGTCGAAGATTTAGTATGGAGAGTGAGTATTCCCATGAAAGACATTGGTCGAAGTGGTGGGGGGTCGTTTCCCACTAACCTCGAGGGAGACATTGATTTCGTACAGGGTATAGCGTTCAGTTTCTGTAATCAAATATCTTAGGTCTACAGAGTGGTACAAAAATGATGCAATTTTCAATTCCAAATAATTTATTAACGTATACATAGAAGAACTTGACAGTATACAAGGATCGTAGTGATTTATCTTTTTTTCTTTTTTTTTTAAACATTATTTTAATTTTGCATTGTTATCGTATCGTTTTCTTCTTCTTTTCGAATTATAATTTCTAGAATTATCTTTAGTTAAAATACACTTTGGGAAACGTTTGATCGATCCTAACCTAACGCTGAACAATATTTTTCGAGTTTAGAATTAATTTACAATTAATTCAGAACTTACCGAAGTGTATTTTAATTAGAGATAATTTTAAATTCGAAAATTATTATTGGAAAAGAAATTTCGGATAAGAAGACGATACAAGAGTAATACGAAAGGTAAAATAGTGCTTACAAAAAATAAAAGTTAGAATATTAAATTAATTTAGAATTATCTTTCGGTGAAATAGCATTATTTCAATCGAAAAACGCGATCGAGTATCGTAACGAGGATAAGAATATGATAAGGAAAATATCGTTGGTGTCTTTTGTGGACCTTGCAGATTTTTGATAAATTTTCTAGATTTTTAATTCGCTACCAGCGTAACAATGCGTTTAATCGAAAAGTTCTCTGAACAAGGTTTTTCTTTTTTAATTTAAAGCTTCTCTAAGCAGTGTCTCTAATTTAAAACTTCCCTATATAGTATAACCTACACTATACAATGGGGGTGACTATAGTTACCCTATAGTCACCCTATCAAGACCGAGAGATGGCAAAAGTCACGCATTATGGGTGTCGAATTTTCTCCGTTGCAATCGATATCTCGATTCTCTCTCTTTCTCTCTAACTCGAAACTAGCTAAAACGTTCGCCTAACTATATATCCTACATATTGTATCGCATACCAATCATTGTATTAATTTATCTTATCATAGCACAATGATTTTTGACGAATTTTGGAAAATCATTCTGTATATTAATTTTTGTCACATTAGTAGTCGCAAAAGCTTTACGTTCCAACTAGTTCGCGAATTTTCACGCGTTTGTGAGAAACTCGAAGGTACAGAAATGCACAGAACGTGCATACACGTATTTGCTATGGAATTGAAATATAGTAATCGTTATATATAGTTCTTATCGTTATATTCTATTAGACAATGAGATATTTATGATTCGAAGTTTATTACGTCTAAATATATCGCGAGACAAAGTTGGCATATTTCTACGCTATTGCGGCCATTTGCAATTTTATGTTCCACCTCTTTGTGTCTTAGTTATGACTTACGTGTTTAATTCACGTAAGACACAAGTCCAATTTCTAGGTTACCCCATTGAAACAAATAAATATCTATGTGGCGGCACTCGACAGCACAAATACCGCCACTCGACACAAACAACTAACGACGACGTAGCTAGTGGTTAGCGCATTAGGTTACGAACGTTCGGAACGCGGGATCGAATCCCGGCAACCGAAGTCCGATTTTTCTTCCATTCTAAAATAGGATTCTAAAATAGGAAGAAAATATAGCAGTACCACACCCAGCAATGACATCTACAGCCTCCAGCCACAATCACCACGGACACGACATATTCACCTCATCTACACCAAGCGATACATATATCGCGAAATATCCATAATCGATCTATAAATATAGTTTATAGCGTTAGGTAAACCTATTTCTATTTCTGTCTATGAGTTTCGAATTATATTCATAAAAATATATGAATAAGCTTGCTTGCATAGATATCCACGCTTTACTCGCAAGAGAGAGAGAAAGAAAGAGAGGAGAGGGAGTTCATCTGACGGTTCATTAACCCCGCTAGTGTATACTACTCTTTTAATTCGCATAAAAGACATCAGAGCTATTTTAACCAATGAAATTAGACGGCGGAGCGTATTTAGCTCGAAATTGCGAATCGCTGGGGGAACGAGCAGAGGGAAAATTACAATTTAACTAGGTTCTCGTGTCCGCGTTACGATTCCACCGTACGTGGATGGAACACAATGAACCACTGGCACGTCGCGTTACGTGTTATAATCCCGTGGGAAAAGACGGACGGACTTAGTTTAGACTTTAAGGGTGGCGAGGTGAAGCAGAGAGAAATTTAATTACAAGAAGCTGGGCCTCGTGTCCGCTGCCCGCGGCTTTTCACCTTCTTCCACCTTCTTACGTTCTCGTTCAGAAATTCGTTCGTACAAAATTTGGAACTCCTTTGGGTATTTCGATCATATGGTTTCTTTTCTTTTCTTTTTTGGATCGTGGAAAAAATGTTTCTTCTATTATTGAGAATCCAGACGACGTATATATACGTTCTGTGTATTTCAATCGAATTGGAAGAAAGTTTACTATCAGTTTCGTTGCGTAGTTGTCTTTCTTAGTCGTTCATCTACGAATTGCCTTGTTCTCGATATTGGAGCCGCGGACTCGAAATTACGCCCATTAATTAATAAACGTCGATTGCGAAAAAATTGTTCCTGAAAATTTCTGTTTTTGCCCTGCAAATTGTCGAACAACAGCATAAACGAAAACACAAGCATCTTCTATTCTAAAACGACGTAAAGACGTTAAAGCAGAAGGAAATGAAAGCAAGTGGAAAAAGTATGCGTTTTGCTCGCGAGTAACGCCCGCAAAGGCGCTGTCCTAGAAAGCGGTGGATTCCCTGGAAACGGCAGCGATAGTTTATTCGTGTCACAACGTGACCACGTTGCCACGATCGATCCGCCGACGTAACACGATTTCGTCGATGCAATCGAAACTCGATTCCTCGAGCGTGCTCGAATTTCCATGAATCCTGGCCGCTTCGAGAATTCGTGAGATCGGCTTTCTAGGGAATTTCGTCGAGCCTCCCTGTACTCGAAGATAATAAAGAAGGGCCGAACGAGTGTCGAGTTGGACGAATTGAACGTCGATGGGAACAGTTGATTGGATTTGTTCAAGCAGTTTGCTCCTAATAAATGCGCAAATTGTCATGCCACGTTTCGCTACTTCAGACCGAGCGAGTGACGATCTTCTTCCCCCTAACTTTCTAGTAAAATTAATATGGCGGAAACGTAGACGAGCATTTGTCCACTGACTGGCAGGCTTACCAACGTGGTTTCTTATACGCCGAATCCCGAAAATGTGACATTTTTCCAACTTAGTTTAAATATTTTTCTTCTTATACGTCTCGAACTGTAGCCAATGTTACTGCAAACTCGTTTTAATATAAAGCAACAATGACGCAACGTATAAACTAACCACATTTGCCTTAAACTCGCCTAATAACCTTGGTAAGCGATGCTGTTGAGAAAAATCTTTTCTCTCGTATCCTGCGTTAAATCAAAAGCAAGAAACGGAATACGATCGAAGCTTGTCGATGCTATTAGAAGAATTAGGGCGGAATAAAGT